TAGAACATGCAGGGCTAGTAGTACTCTCTCTGTAGTAGGTTAAGAGTCTTTTCTTTGCCTAGGTGTCCTCTAACAGGTAAGTTATGTATAATTTAGAGTAGTTTAATTCTTAGTTTATTAAAATTAAGAATTATAAGTTAGTTATAGTAATATAGCTTACTATTTTAGTTTTTATAGTTAGCTAGTGTTACTTTCTTTAACTAACTAGCACTATTTTAGAGTAGGTCTAAGGTTTCTTAGATAAATTTATTATTTAAATACTTATTAGTAATAATCTAATTAATTATCTAATCTATTTTATTTAGGTTAAGGTCTAAAAATAGCTTAAGTTAGAGCAGAGTTTAGTGTTAAGCCTTTTATGCTTTTTTTTAAGTAGAGATGTCTTAGAATTACTTTATAAAAGTATTTAGTTTCTTTTTATTTTAACTAGAATAATAAGTAATTTTAAAATTAAAATAGAATAGGTATTTAGACTAATAGGCTTATTAGTAGCTAAGTTATTTTATAGTTATAAAGTACTATAAGTTCTTATAGTTAGATAGAACTTATATTAGATGTGCTGCACCTTTTAGTTTAAGTTGCTATTATTTAAAGCAGTGTACTATAGTAAGTAATTTTTTATTATAAATCTTATAATTACCTTCTGCAAGACTTATTTTTTTTAAGAAGTATGTAATAGGCCTAATAGTTTTATCTAGCTTAGTCTAGAAGAGAACTTCTGCTACTATGTAGTCTAAAGCATTAGCTTCTATAAGTATTAGTAGTTTAGAGTTAAAGTAGCAGAGTATTAGGGCTTTAGTAAAGGCTTTCTTTAGCTAGTTAAAAAACTATTAGTAATTTAAGTTAAAGTTAAATTAAATCTCTTTTTTAGTAAGTGTAATTATAAGGCTTACTTACTATAAAAAGTTATTAATAAATTATTAGTAAAAGTTAGTAAATTTTATAAAAGCTTAAATATCCTTTATATTCTTTAGGTATTGCTAATCTAGCACAGTTTAAACCTTAATAAGGTCTATTTAGATGCTATTTATAGAGATTACATATTCTAAATATATAACCTTTAATTAGTAAAACTTACATTTATTTACATTAAGTTATAAACCTACTTCTTCTATAGCCTTTAGCACTAGGCGTACATGCTATTTGTGCTCTAAAAGGCTATTACTGTAGATTAAAATATTATTAATATACATAGTGCAGAACATGTTTAGGTAGAGTTAGAGTAAGTTATTTATAAAATGTTAAAAAGTACTAAGCGTGTTAGCTAAGCTAAAAGGCATTACTAGGTACTTAAATAGTCTATATTAGGTCTAAAACACTGTTAGCTACTTATTACTCTTTACTATTTTTAGCTTATTAAAAGTAGTAATAATATCTAACTTTATAAAATACTTTACTTTACTTAGTTAGCTTAGAGTTTTTTATAAAAAAAAATTAAGTATTAGTTTTTAATAATAATAGTGTTTAGTTTTTAGTAGTTAACATAGAATTAAAGCTTACTTTTAGGTTTTTTTATAAATAGTATAGGTAACACTACTAGTAAGAAGCTAGCTTAAATAAACTTTTTTTTTAAGTTTTTATTAAAGTATTTTTAAAGCACTTTTAATTTATTTAGCAACATTTTATATAGTAGCCTATAACTAGGTTATTTACTAGGCTTAAAAGTTATCTAGTAATTATATAGATGTTATATTAAAAGCTTATTAAACTTATTTTAGAAAAAGATATATAATAAGTTATAGTAGTTTTAAAAAACTATTATTTTTAAGTTAGTGCGTTTTTAGAGAGCTAGAGCTTAGTCTATATTAGAAATTATAACTACATAGATTTTATAATCTAGTTATTAAGCTAAGGTTATAAATAAAGCAGGTCCTATATAGCAGATGTCTATCTACTATTTAAGTCCTAGTTTATGTCTAAATTAAGTAGGTAAAGGTTCTTTAAAGGCTTTTTTTTTTTTAAGTTTAAGTAGTTATTAAATTATTTTATATAGCCTATCTTAGTAAAAGGCCTAGCTTATTAGCCTTACTTAAGTAGTTTTTTTTTAAGTTATTAAAAAGTAAGTCTAGAGACTTTCTATATTAAGTGCTATTTAGGTGTTGTTTAGGTGTAAGTATAAGCATATATTTTAGCATTAAAAAAAGTTAAAGTTTAAAACTTACTTTTAGTAATTAAAAGTAACTTTATGCTAATATAGCTATAGTTATTTTAAAATTAGGTTATAACATCTTATGTTTATTACATAGAGTTTAATCTACTTTTTATAGTATTAGTAAGTAATTATAATAGTTATAGTATAAAAGATAAAACTTTTTTTAAGTTATTTTTTATTAAATCTAGTTAAGTAAATTATTTAAGTAAGTAGTGTTAATTAAAGATTTAGTTTACACACTAGTTTTTTATTAATGTAACCTATACTGTTTACTTTTAAGTTAATAAAAGCTTATATTAGAGCTAATATAGTTTTTTATTATAAACATACAGAAATATTAACTTAGTACTTTTAGTTATTAGTAGAGGACTTAGCTTATAGGTTAGCAGAGATTTAGTGTTAAATTAGTTCTAAAAGGTAACTTAGCCCTAAGATAAGCCTTTTTATAGGCTTCTACTGCTATAGCTGCAGCTATATTAAAAGTAGTAAAAAAGATTAAAGCTTAAACATAAGTTAAAGCTTTTATAAAAATAAGATTAAAATAGTAAAAATTTTTAATAAATGCTAGCAGCGCTACTTGCATAGACTTAAAAAAAAAAATAAAGCAGTTTTAAAAGATATAACTATGCTTACTATACTTAAAGTATTAACTTTTTTTTTTATAATTTTTACACTTTTTAAAACTAACTAGAGCATAATTTAAATTAATTTTTATTACATTAAAGTTCTTATTTGCAACTGCGCTAGTTTAGGGGCGTATTAGGGCTTATATAGGGAGAAACCTTATGTTATTATTATAGGTAGCAATTAAGTTTACATACACATTAAGGTTGTTTAGAAGGGGTTCTTCTACTATAGCGTGTTACAGTTTAGTTAAAAAAGAGTTATATAAAGCTATAATTAGACCTATCTTATTTAGGCCTATATTAAATGCAAGTTAGTAGAACTTAGTAAAGTGTAAAGTAAAGCTTTTTTTTTTATTATAAAGTGTTTAGGTAACTTAGAGCTGTTAACTTTTTATTTAAGTTTTTATAAGTTACTTATAAAAACTTTATAAATTAATTTAAGTTAATAATATTTTTATTTATTAGTAAGTTAATTAAGGCTGTTATGTTATAGTTAAGTTAAAAGTAAGCATATAGTAACTAAAAGTGTTTAAAGAGAAATTAGTTTATATTTTCTTTAAGTTTATATTAAAGCTTATATAGAAAGGAAAGTAGGTCTTTTTATTTTCTATTAAATAGTAGAGGATTAGAGAGTTAGTTAGATTTTATTACTAAGTTAAAAAAGTTATAAGTTATAGGCAGCGTTAGATAAGAGAGAGTTAAGCCACCTCTAGACTTCTAAGTAAGCTTTAAGGCTAGTAAGTTCTTAGTTCCTACTACTATAATAAAAGTTAAGGTAGAAATAAACTACTTAATAACATAAAGCTGTTTTTTAAAGTCCTTTTAAAAAGCTTTTAAGTTTATAATGTAGTAGCTTTCTTATAAAGTAAGCGCTTTTTAAAAGGCTTTTTAGCTTACTTTAATAGCTTAAAGTTATATAAGTACTAAGCTTATTAAATTAGATTTAAAGGCTATTCTTAGCTAAAGTTTTAATACAACATAATGTTATAATTATGTATAAGTAAGGTTATAAAGCTTTATAGAGGTCTAGTTTAATTACTATGTAAGGTATTATAGTAAGTATAAGATGTTATATAAGGAATAAAAAAGTTTAGAAAGAAATTAGTAATTAAATACTTAGCTTAAAAGTTTAAGCACTTTAGGTATAAATTAAGCCTGTTTTAGGTTTAGTTAGTGTTAAAGCAGTTTATGCTTAAGTTTATGTCTGTGTTGTGTTGTGTTTATGTTAGACGTGCACTAATAATACTCTAGTACGCGTCTAATACGGTTATGTCTGGGATCCGGGGAGGATACCGTGACATACTGCTACTATTCCTCTTACACTTATGTTACCCTCTCTAACCCTTAGCATCTAAACTACTAGCCTCTACTCTAAAAGCTAGAACATTAAGCCTAAAAACTATGCTGCCCTACTATAGCTTGCTACATTAATTATCGCCTGTCCTCTCTGTCTACAACCTAGAACTCTAGTTCTAGAGCAACTAGAACTCTTTTTAAAACCTACACTATTGTTACTTATTATAAACAAGGCCTACTGCTGCTGTTGCACAGCTGCTGCACGCAATTGCAGAACTCCTAGGATCTTGCAACTTTAAGAATAATCTTACACTATACTAACACTTGTACGCTAGCAGGTTCTGCTTTATTTGCTAACAAAGGGACACTAAACTGTAAGGCCGGGATGGCGCTTACGTGTAAGGCCGAGATGGTGCTTACGTACGACGGGTATATATACTATTCTGTACGCAATAATTAACGTTGGTTGATTATTCGCACCTTTTTGGTTGTATTGGCGTAGTGGTACAGAGCTCCGTCCTTACATAAACACTTAGAGGAGAGAGCCTTAAGAATACTTGCTACTTACTAAATACAAGAGGTATAGGAGAGTTTGCTAGGAAAATACAGAGAGATAGATATTTTACATGTATGGGCTATTAGGAGGTATGCTATTACTAAGGAATTGCTTATGTAATAAACTACTAGTGCCCTCTAGGCTAGAGCCGGGCGTAATAAAGACATCCATCCATCCATCCGCCGTATGTAGCTCTGCTTCAGTATCATGTATTAAAACACCAATAAAACTCTATGGCCTCCCTGCTGTGTGATCAAGGTGTTCGCCTACTTCTCAAGATATACTGTGTAAGCACACAGTCTAGCGCCGCTACCGACCCCATCCGGCCAATCAAAGCACTCGGTTAGAACATGAGGCAGCCGACGAGGCTCTCCCCGCCACGTCGTGCCTATCGTGCAGAATAGACGACCCAACATGCACACACTTGTTGTTTCTTCCCATCCGCCTGGGTTCGCGTAATCGCAATGGCGGAGGCTCTTGGGCTTGCCGCAAGCATCATCACTGTTGTTGATCTGTTCGTTAAGGTCGGCGTGCTGTGTTCTGTATATTGCGCCGATCTTAAGACGGCCCGGCGCGACGCTCGATATATCCTCAACGAGGCCGACAAGTTCACCGCGACCCTTAAAGACATCGAACGACTCCTCGCCGGCCCGAATGGCGCGAAAATTGAAGCTTCTCAGAACGTGCGCTCCGGCGTCGCGGATTGCCGACTGCAGCTGGACGACCTGGCCACCAAGCTCGAACAGGGAACAAGGTGGAAGAGGATAACATGGCCACTAAAGAAGGAAGAGGTGGCTGGTATAGTTAAGAAGCTAGAGCAATATAGGGCCGCTATTTCTTTGGACCTACAGGTCAATCAAATGTACGTAGCCTCCTCCTTACTTGAGCTACTACTAAAGAATTCTCAGAGCATTGCTTCGCAACGTTCATCAGGAGACTATCCTGGCAAAGCTGCGCACCGTAGAAGGAGCGACCTTTGATTCTCACACCGACGCCAACAATGCCAGGTGCCATCCCGGAACCCGGGTTGACATCCTACAGCAGATATTAGCATGGGGGGCCTCGCATGACAGCAAGTGTATTTTCTGGCTAAACGGTATGGCTGGTACTGGCAAGTCTACAATCTCTCGAACTATAGCCCAATCATTCGACGAGAAGGGGATCCTCGGCGCCAGCTTCTTCTTTAAACGGGGTGAAGGAGACCGCAGTCGCACGGCATTCTTCTTCACTACGATAATTGCGCAGCTTGTCCACAAGCTGCCGTCCTTAGCCCCACACGTCCGCGCTGCAATCGAGGCCAATCTTGCCATTAATGAAAAATCAGCAAAGGACCAGTTCGACAAGCTCATTGCAGACCCGATCAGAAAGCTACCCAAGCATTCGCAACCGTTAGCAATGGTTATAGTTGTTGACGCACTCGATGAGTGCGACACCCTTGAGCACATAAGGCTTGTCATTCAGCTTCTGTCCCAAGCGAAATACTTCACATCTATCCGCCTGAGATTCTTCCTCACCAGCAGGCCCGAGCTGCCTATCCGACTCGGCTTTAAGGATATTAGCGGCAAGTACGAAGATCTAGTTCTCCACCAGATCTCTATGCCCGTTATAGAGCATGACATTAAAGCATTCCTTCAGCATGAACTTTCTAAGATTCGACAGGATTACAACAAGTCTGTCAAATCAAACCGGCAGCTGCCTTTTAATTGGCCAGGAACAGAGTACATCCAAAAGCTAGTTGACATGGCTATCCCTTTGTTCATCTTCGCCGCAACTGTCTGCCGCTTTATTCAAGACCGAAGGCTTGGTGGCCCAAAGGAACAGCTAGCGAGAATCCTAGAACACCAGAACAGCCAGAAGTCTAACCTAGACGCGACCTACCTCACTGTGCTAGATCACTTGTTAGTAGGGCTGCGCGAATCACAGAAGCAAGAAGTAGCAGAAAGGTTCAGGCAAGTTGTCGGCTCTATTGTTATTCTCGCCAGCCCTCTTTCGACGCATTCGCTCGCCCGCCTCCTTAGGGTTTCCCTTGATACTATTGAAGATCAACTAGACCTGCTCCATTCTGTTTTAAGCATTCCTCCAGATCTAAATGCTCCCGTACAGCTACTCCACTTATCCTTCCGTGACTTCCTTGTTGATCCTGAGAAGGGTAGGGAACAGGAGAAATACCCGTTCTGGGTCGACGAACGACAAACTCATGAGCTACTAGCCGCCCAGTGCCTAAAGCTGCTATTAACAGGCGATACACTCAAAAGAGACGTGTGCAACCTGCGACTTCCCAAGACGCGCCGATCCGAGATCGACCAGCAGACTATCGATGCCTGCCTGCCGCCCGAGGTCCAGTACGCCTGTCGGTATTGGGTCTATCACTGGAAGGAAAGCAAGTGTCTAATACGGGATGACAACCTCGTCGACTGCTTTTTAACGCACCATCTCCTACACTGGCTTGAGGCTATGAGCCTTTTAGGTTGGGTCTTAGAAAGTATTAGCATGGTGAATGACCTGTTAGGTCTGCTTGATGTATGTGCGTTTCCGGTTAGTCTGTCTCGTAATATTAATTTGCTTCCGCCTAGCCGGAAGATAGTAGTCGAGTCTCAGTGTTTCTTCGCGACACCCGTCGAGTTATCCTGAGCCATTGCTCTATTATAGACGAATCGCCACTTCAAGTCTACTGTTCGGCTGTCGTGTTTGCGCCGGAACAGAGTGTCGTCAGGAAGACATTTCGGAATCATTTTCCGGCATGGCTTTCTCTACCACCGCAGGTGGATTCGGCCTGGCATGCGTGCCTGTCAACGCTCGAGGGCCATAGCGATTGGGTCACCTCAGTAGTCTTCTCGCCTGACTCGGCCCGGCTGGCGTCGGGGTCATATGACAACACAGTCAAGATCTGGGATGCGAGCAGCGGCGAG